CAGAAATGTTAAGATCTCTTTTATCTCAACGTGCAGACGTTTGCCTTAATCAGCAGTCACTAAGCTACCCAAAGTGATTATTTTGCATTGCACCTTGTGTCCTTGCAGATAACGCTGGTTACTTCAGTGCAGTCCCCTACTTTCGTGACTATTTCATCATTCAAAACTCTGTTCTTATTTTTAATTATTGATAAACAACCAGGCAGTACATGTGGGTTAAAAAAAATAATTAAAAAAAACAAAAGACTAAAAAGTACCAGGCTGAAGGAAGGTTTTAGACTGATCCTTGAAGAATGCTTGTAGCCTACACCTAATGTAAGATTTTTATTGAGGAAAAGGAAAAAGCTGGTATTTGTTACCAAGTCTAAACTGAGAGATACTGCCCCATGTTAGTACACAAGGCAAAACAGAGTAACATTGTGAAAACATTGGAGCAAGAGAGAAATCAATTCGAACTGGAACAAGCACACAAAACAGTTATAAGGCTAAAACAGGAGAAGAGTTTCAAGCAAGAGAAGAGCTTGACTGAAGCAGTTTAGTAGTACAAAAGAACTGTAAAATTAATTGACTGTATCCTAGAAATACATGAAAGGCAAGCACAAGAGAGGGGGACTTTTTTTGCCCCCAGAAGTCAGCATTGGCAGAAGAATAAAAGGATATAAAATTGGCCAGAAACAGCCTAGTGCAGAAATTGTAAGACCTCTTTTAACCACTGGAGGAGTACTTGCTGAAAACCGGTTGTAGAGTGACTCCAGTGTAATTAGAGTACAGCTTGATAAACACTGCTGCTTTCAGACTTAGAACCACTGAAGTAAGGGGAAAAAAAGAAAATTTTTCTGCTACATATAAGCATAACCGTCATGCTAAAATGAGTCCAAATTACAAAGTTTTTTGTCTCTTATACTTACAATTTAATCAAAAGTACAAAAAACATGGCAATTAACCTCCTTAAATTGCGTACCAAAGTACTACAGTTAAAATTTCCCACCCACCTGATGCTTTCCAAAGCAACCTCCCCAGTATTTACTCAACAGAACAAAAAAATTTCCCAGCAAGAACCAGAGTTATGAACAGAACAAACACTGGATCTACACTGAATAAAAATTGCAGATACAACCACTCTGAGCTCAAATTGAATCTATACAACTTCTTGTGGGCAATACTGTCTGCTCCAGCCATCTGTTTTGAATGAACCTGGGTATAAAAGATCTTGGTAACACCCAAAACTTCAGTTAAACAAATAATTCTCCTCCCCCTTGCTGTGTGTAAATGAGATATGCTCCTAATCCCTCCAAATCCCTGGTTGAGCAGCTGACAGACACAACAGGCAGCAGACCACAGG